AAGCTTTGCCAGCTCGGAGCTGAGCGTGCAGCCTGTGCACACAGTCCTGGGCACTGCTGGACTGCTCTGGATCTGTGGAGCAAGCTGGAAACACAGGGGTAAGGAAGCAGCCACAGGAATTCAATGCAATTCAATCGGCTGCAAAGCCACATGCCCTGCAGCGCTGCGACAGAAAGAAAGGAACAGAATCGCCTTCGCCGCAGCCAAGTGGATGATGGATTTATCTGGCTGGGGAATGAGCGTAAAAAAATTCAGAGCACAGTGATCCCATAGAGGAGCTGGAGGAGGGGGAACTGGTAAATCAATCTGCAACTCAATTCACCCCTCCATGCCTGCACCAGAGGCGTAAGGACGTCTGGAGGTCTGCCCTGACCTAGGAGGCAGTCCAAAGAGGTATGGAGCAGATGGACTCCCTTTCTCTACTCCCTCATTGCTGGTTCCTTCAGGTCAGCACGAGATGGTTTTCTGAATCAAAGTGCGTGTTTTCATCTTCATTTAAATTGTATTTTTCCCTTGGATTTTTCTTTGAAATGAAATAGCAAAACTTTTCAGCTGGAGATCAGAGCAATTGTCTCAAATTCTACCTGAGGGGACCAAGAATTTTGGTCCATTCAACATGTAATCCAGCAACAAGGCTCAGACCTAGTGGGAACTCAGTTTCCCTCCTTTAAACAGGCTGAGATGTCTGTAGGGGAACTTTCATACCAAAGCCCTGGCTCTGGTCCTGCCTCCACCAGCCTCACAACCTCAACTGAATTCCAGGAAGAGAAAACCACCTAAGGTGGACCATCAGAGCCTTCCTGAGGCTGCTCTGCCTCAGGAGCCAAGTCGTGTCCTAATGGTGCACAGGACCAGAGAGCAGAAAACCAGCACACCCTTGCTTTCCTCAGGTAAGCGCCTGAAATTCAGTGGGACAAATCCAAGGTATTTTTCCTGTTGCTAGAGGACACCGCTGTAATTCCTCCAGCCACCCCTGGGCAGAGGGGGGAGCAAGGGCACAGCTGCTCAGCTCCAGTGCTGCACAGAGGTGGAATCAGGGCCAACCTGGTCTTCTAAACCTTGTCCCCATGTGGCTGGAAGAGCCACAGTAGCCAGAGTGACCATCAAACCCAGGGATCTGCGATGTGACTGAGAGCCTGCGCTTTCCTGAGACTACACAGTAAGGGAGCACATCTCTCCAACTGTAGTGACATTGCTGCTAGCCTGGAGCCCTTTTGGGCATCACTGCTCTGCAGCAGGATGCCCTGCACTGCCAGATGGCCAGGGAGGGTTGGCAGGGCAGGGTTGGGGTGGATAGATGTTAAAATAAAAAACAAAGAGTGAGGACAGGGGCCAGCAAGGAACAGCCCTGGGCTGAATGTCTTTTGTAGGGCTGGACTCATGCACACAGAGGTGCTGCAGGTAGCTGGTGAAGAATGGGGTGCTGAGCAGTCTGGATTTGGGCAGGACATCAAGAATGGCCTCTCAAACCACCTGAAGGGCTCAAGTCTGATATCTTCCCCCATTTTACACCACCATGACCATACCAGCTTCCTAAAAACAGCCCTGCTGGCCAGCCAAGAGCCCACACATCTCAGATTGAGATCTGCACCTCTGCAAAATCCCATTAAATGTGTGTGAGTCCTGCCGGCCCTGCACAAAACTGGCAGGAAACAAGAAAGATGGGAAACTCATCAAGAAGGTTGCTCCTGCACTGTGCCAACTCCTACAGCTCCCCGCTCCATGCTGGTTTACAGATGGGTCCTAATAGTGCTGAAATGTAGCAGAGCTTTCCACCCAACACAGCAGCACAAATCTGCACTCCAGCCCATTGCTGTACCCTGAGAAATCAGACGCTGAACTGATCCCCGTGGCACATCAGTGCAGATCCATATCTATGGCAGCTCAAGGAGCTGGTAGCCATTCCTCCCCATTCAGGAGTGATGGGGGTTCCCAGTGTCCCCTTCCCTTTGGGGTGACAAGCTGAATGGCAAAAGGGTGCCAGGCTGGACAGTTGCCTGCTGTGTGAAGTGACAGGGGACGTTAGGTATCATCTTCTAGTAGCCACAGGGGAGTCCAAAATAACCCAGTACTGCCTTCCATTTCCATCTCTGCTCCTCCCCAATATGGTACCCAAGCAGGCAGCTCTGCCCTGGGCTGTGGGAGCTGGGACAAACTGCTGGGGAGCTGAGAGGCCCTTTGCCAAGCTGGTCCAAGCTGGCACTAGAGCATGGCACAGCTGGGTTTTGCTGTGCCAAGGATGAGAATCTGGGGGCTACAAGAGCAGTCTATTCCTCATGCAAGTAAACTGGGAGAGCCCAGCTTGCTGCTACTGGCACAGCTGTGAGAAGCGGGGAAATTACTGTTGCTGGGAGAAACCATCCCTAGGAAATCTCTCTTGAAGGCAGGCAAGAGGGCCAGAATAGGTTTGATGCCCTGGCATCTGCTGCCTTGGCCCTTTGCCATGCCCAGGACTGGCTCTGCTTCTTTGACTGCAGGAGAAGAGAGCCAGTCCAGCTGCTAACACAGGGACATAGAGGAGACAGAAGATCTGAGAGTCATGGCCCTTGGGGCCAGTCTGCTCTTTTTCGGTCCGAATCAGTCCTGTTGGCCTTGGCAGGAGGCTGTGTACTGTGCCTGAAACAAGTGAATGTGTCTGAAACAGAGCAGGTGTTGACTTCTCTCTACCAGTTCCCCCAGAGCAACACCAGTGCTAGAAGACAGAGAGGGTCCCAGGAGTGCAGGGCTTGGCCTCGCTCGGGTCAGGCAGCTGGGCAGCACAAGTTACCCCAGCCGACAGGATCTCCCAGGCTACAAAGGAAAGCTTCTTCTCTCATGGGTGTCATTCATTTTGCACCATCATTTGGGGAGTATGCAGAAGATGAAGGCTACCTGTGGCTGCAGATATCTGCACGAAATCTGGGGAGGGCAGTCCCAGTTCAGCCCAGAGGTCTGCCTGGTCTGGAAGCAGTGACCAGCACCAATTCCTCTTGCCAGACTGTAAAGCAGAGCAGGAACACCTTGGTTCATGCTCCATGCTCCCAGGTCAGCCTCAGCAAACCCAGCCAGCAGCACCAGGGTTGAAGGGATTCAGGGGAAAGACACATTATTCAACATGAAACAATAAGTCCTTTTGGAGATTCCTGGAGAGCTCTGTGCAGTATTTGTGTCCTTGTCCCTGCAAGCCTTTCCTCAGCTGGAAATTGAGATGGGAGAGAGCTCCTGATACCCCTTTTCTGGGTGGTAGCAGAGCACCTTCCTTGCACAGCCTGCTCTGCTCCTGCCAGCTGGGAGACAGCTGAAGAGGCCCTGTCCTTCAGGGTGACAGGGGCTGACAGCAGCTTTGCCCAGTGTGGGCATCAGCCAGCTCATGGGGACAGGCTGGAGGACTGGGGGGGAAACTGACCGACCCAGTGGGACAGGCACATCCCTCGTGGGGCCAGCGGGTCCAGTGACCCTGGGACAGAGACAGGGGTCCCTGCGGGCTCAGCCAGGGACCTGCACGCCCCGGCCAAGGCACGGATCTGTCACCGCTTCTCTGAGCTGCAGAGCCACCGCAGAGCCGGGGCACCCTCCCGGCAGGCTACTGGCGGCTAGCGGAGCTGCCCTGATGGCCGGGGGAGCTGGCCGGAATCGAAGCGAGGGTCTGGGCAAGGACTGTTGCCGCAGGGGGCATGGAAGGCAGAAAGGAGCCTCGGGGGCGGCTCAGCATCCCTCGCTCCCTGCCGGAGCCGGGGGCAGATCCGCCCTGAGGGGAACCCTTTCCACCGCCTCAGAACCCGCAGCCGTTTCTTAACCGACGGGGCGGGAAGGGGCGCTCGGG